ATGATTTAAGTGTTAAAAATACCCCGCTCATTATCATAATTCATGCCAAAATAGGATGAGGCCTGCAGGCATGAACATGGGGTTGACCTTTGACCTCATATGATTGTGAAATTGTCAAACCTCTGAAAACCTGATGAAATAATTCCGGAGATGGAGGTGAATTGGCAAACTGCATAATATCAAAGCAATAATGCTTTCTTGAAGACATATTGAGGACATCCGAACAATTTTGTGTGTAGGAAAGTGCAAATACATGGCTTGGGTCCGTTTAGAGCCCAGACGGTCTTACATCAGACTTCAGTTGTTATTTTTACAAATTTGTGCCGATCTCCAAAAACAATTTGGAGAACTTGTAGAAGAGGTTTACTGACAAAGTCACGGGAGGAATTTTTTTTAGAATAAAAAAAAATACAAATAGCACATAAAAATAAACGTCTGGGGTCCAAATGGACCCCGTTCGGGTGTTTGAGGGTTAAACTCGATGTTTCAGGAAATAGTGAGGATATAATAAGTACCTGGAGCAGCCTGGCATATGAAGCGAAACGTATAGTCGCATTCTTCGTCGTTCCACTTGTCTTTCAGAGATGGCAGTGCGGAGTAAAGGACGCAATCTTCGTTGCCCCCAGCGCTGTCCGGTCGTCCCTGTCCCCAGGAGCTGTACGGCCCACGTGCAGAACCGTCCACCCACTCAAACCGCCCCTCTTCGCGCTGATCGTGTAGGCCGATCCAGAAGGCTCGATCGTCGTGCACGGAGTTGTACAGGGAGATGACGAAGGCGTTGGTATCAGCGTCTCGGGGCATGGCGAGGGTACCGCCGTCTGCACGACAGGCCGCGCCCGCATCGCTGAAGGTCTTGAGTGTGTTGAACGCCTTGTAGCAGATGTCACGCCACTTGGTGTAACCTTTAAGACAAGATGCTGTAAAAGAAGGTTTATATTAGCAACATGTCATAGAAGGGTCATATTGATATCATTATATACATGCAATAAATACCCCCGGGGATGAATTCCATAAACGAATATCTATACGAAATCTAAGATAATTTTCGTAAATTTCGGGGTAGATTTCGGCCTAGATTAGGGTATATTTCCCGTGAGCCTCCATACAACAACTGTGGACTGTGTCCTTTCGATTTTTGGTGTTTTCCTAAAAAATTCTTATTAGGCCACACCGACTTAATTTTATGGATGACATCCGCGCGCGCATTGGTTTTCGCTTGTCGCCCTCAAAAAAAAAAGAAAGATCACCTCCACCGAGGCTCTGGCCTGGCTCTAGTCCTGGGTAGTCCATGGTAGTCAGCGACAAAACGGCTATTTACGCATTAGGCAACTCTACTGTATTTTCTCTTCCTGAATATTGTTGTGCGATATTACTGTGTAATGTTAAGAACTTACAGGAAATATAAGAGTTGTACCAGTTAGGCGACTGTTACTCAGATGCCCCACTGACAATAATATCACGACATGCCGGCCATCGACAACGTAAAGTGATGACGACAACATTTTACGTTTATGCCAAATGATGTACAACATAAACTTATGACGACATCACTTTACATTCATGCCAAACGTTACCATAACATAACCTACGTTACGTTTAACTTACCATAACATAATCTACGTTATGTTAACATAACATAACCTACGTTACGTTAACATATCATAACCTACGTTACGTTAACATAACATAACCTATGTTACGTTTAACTTTAATACCATAACATAATCTGTTAACATAACATAACCTACGTTACGTTAACATATCATAACCTACGTTACGTTAACATAACATAGCCTACGTTACGTTAACATAACATAACCTACGTTACGTTACGTTATAAATAACATAACCTACGTTTCATTATAAATAACATAACCTACGTTACGTTAACATAACATAACCTACGTTACGTTACGTTATAAATAACATAACCTACGTTTCATTATAAATAACATAACCTACGTTACGTTAACATATCATAACCTACGTTACGTTAACATAACATAACCTATATTACACTATGTTAACATAACATAGCCTACGTTACATTAACATAGCATAACCTACGTTACGTTTATGGCATCATTTTTGTGTCAAAAATACGGACGTCAAAAGCGTCACGTTTTGGGGTCAATGCGTTACGTGTTTTGTGTCAATACGTCACGTTTGACATAACGTGTGGGTAAGTAACGTACATGTGATTCTTCATTTTCCGTGTAAAAACTACGGACGTAAAAAATCTACCCGGTCTTCAGGGGTGCCAGAGTATACAGTGCAACTTTACGGAATACATTGCATTTTTACAGAATACAGTGCAATTTACGGAATACAGTGCAATTTTACTAGTATAGCTAAGGTCCCAATTACGCCGGTGCCCGTCGGGGATGTAGCCCCGGCTGGCCCCGGCCGGGTTCAGGAGTCGAGCGGGCATCGGCTGTCGTGGTCACAATTAAAAGTTTCCTTCAGTAGCATTTTGTTAGAAATTTTGTCACCCTCTTTGGTCGGTCTCCGGCAGGCACCCGGCAGGTACCCAGCAGATTCTCTGACGATGTATTGTATTGACCTATACGTAATGCAGAATTCACGTATTTGTTGTTATCATTTGATCTGTGAGGTCACACATTTTACCCGGGTTTACGAAGTACACACCTTTATTCTGTTCATCTGGTCTGTGACGTAAGAAATGTGTCCCGGTGGAATCCCGGCAACCGGAGGGGTACCTCTCGGTGTTCTCACGATGAGGTCACGGCGTCTTTTTGTCAGCGGGGCCCGGGTAGAATTTAACTCAGAATTAAATTCTTATCGGGGCCCCGACGGGCCAAAAAATAGCCCGGTAGCCGCAGGGTGCCCCGCGGGGCCACGTCGGGGTCCCGCCCGAAAGTGGTAAAAAACAGCCCGGGAACTACCCGCCAGGGCCCCTTTTCCCAATTCGGACCTTAGCTTATACAGTGCGATTTAACGGGATACAGTGCAATCGTATTAGTATACAGTGCAGCTTTACTAGTGACGGTTAAACTCTATAACGTCCGATATGCATGCTGTCAAGCTGTGTTCCTCCAGACATTCAAGGCAATGTTTGTACTAAATGCTCCTAATAATGCCACATGCCCTGTGTAGTACTATCTACGAGAACGGTCCAAGTTCGCTCAAAAAACCGTCAGCGGCGTGCTCCATCTTGAAAATTGCTTATGGTTCCGTCCATTTCAACAGTCAGGTAGACGTGTTCTTGTGACGTCATCAATTTGTGTTATGTGGTTTGGAGGAATGTAAAGGCCGCATAACACAATATTAGTGGGCGACTCCAGGATACCAAGTTGTACGGACAAAATGAACTTGACAATAGAACTAGAGTTATTTCATAGATTTTCCCCTCAACTTAAACATATTAAATTCGTTTTCTTTCAATCAATTCATGTTGTGTGGTTGTGTGGTTTGGAATGAATGTAAAGGCCGCATAACCCAATATTAATGGGCGACTCCAGGATACAAAGTAGTGCGGACAAAATTCTCATAGCCTGGTTAAAATT